GCGTCTTAGCGATGAAGGTTAGAATTGGTGTAACTAAGGAATGTAGTTCGTCAGAGCACTTTCCACGGAAATAGCTATAGAGCAGGATTTCGTCTGTGAGAAAAGGGGTAGTAGGGTGGAAAACAATTTGTTACCCACAAGGACGGGGAGACGCTTTTGGATTCAATCGAGACTGGAAAGTGAAGACTGAGCAGCTCCTGCGCAAATATGACAATATTATCCCAATAATTACTTGATCTGGCTCTTGTAAATGTAGAGTAAAGAAGGGGGAGCCAGGTACTTACTGGATCAGTACAGAGAAACGACCATTTTTTCCAGCAATAGGATACACCGAGGTATTTAAAGTGTGTAAAATTTCATGGCAGATTCAAGGCATTGAATGAGCCATTGCTACTCTTATTCGATTTCCGAGTTATACTTACTGATTTAAAAAGATTTGCCCAATTGTCCAAGCCCGACTTCTTAGAACACTTGGTAAGGGATGTTGATTTTATTCTATTCTATATTATTCTTATATTAGGTTGGTGCAAAAATAAGGACGTAATAATGTCGTTTTTTGACGTACTTTTCTACGTCAAAAAACGACATTCTTACGTCATTATTTTTGCACCAACCTAATACCAAATATGAACACTTATATAATCACTATAGCCACCCCTCATCATCGGTACACTGTGGAAGGAAATCAGGATCGGTGGTTTTCTGTTAGTAGATTCGTTTGGGTACATTGACGTGGTGTAATGGTTAGTATGTTTGTCTTGCTAGATGTTTTGTCTCGCTAGATAAGTTACGACTGAGTAGCGTGTTCGATCCTTACTGAATACTCCATACTTTACGCCTAGTGCGACATATAAGCTTCACTTAGTAAATCACTATTAGTAGATTCGTTCGTTATGTAATTAACAATCAGCATACACACGAGAGCAAATCATTCAAAGTTAACATATTTTATTTAATTTTTGTCTATTACTGTCAGCCCACCTCCCTCCCTCTCTCTCTCTCTCTTTACCACACTCTCTCTCTCTCTCTCTCTTTACCACTATCTCTCTCTCTCTCGTTATCTCTCTTTTGCTGTGTGTATGTGTCTGTGCGTGCGTGACCCCGGAGCTCTCAACTGAGCATGGATCACACACTCTTGTCTGAGATGCCTGAGAGGCTGCCCTTGCTGACTCTCGGGTTGGTGTTTTACATATTGTTATAGTGGAACACACCTATTCTATTGTTAATAGACTCTCCCACCTATAATAAGTAAGAGTAGTAGTAATAGTCAGTGAGTGAGTTGGTCAGTCAGTCGATGCCGGACGACCGTTAGTCGGATATTAAAGTATCAGCCAACACAACTAGATTTCTCTGCGTCATTACCTATTGTATCAAGTTCCTAACGTTTTGTACGTCGAAGCTATTTTAGGACCGACTTAGTGAAATACAAGCCTCCACAGTGAAACTACTCTACAACACATATCGACCTGTCAAACGGTTTTTTTTTCACATATCAGGTGTAGCTGGGGAATATCATGGCTTTATTTCTAATTCTGAAAGATATTGCGCATCGATAAATCTATGATCACGTGCAAAATTTCTACCATGACTACTGCCTTTCAAACGTAACGGTGGATGTGTGGATAGCGGAGTTCGAATTTCAATCAGGTTAGTTACATTCACTTACGCGCAAATACCTTTGGGCAAAGTATGTATCTATCTCTGCTCGCCACAAGTTAAATATTTGGACTGGCATATAGAAAAGCATTATTAATTCAATATACATTCGCAAGAAAAAAAATTATTATTCTTACAATCTAAAATATGTTTCGGCTTTAAATAACCTACAAAGGGTTGATAAGCCGTAAAAAAACGATTAGTAAATCAATCATAAGTAGCAGCAAAACTTTTAGTTGGTTTTAAGGAAGATACCTTAAAGACAGACCGGAATATGTTAAAATGAAACAAAACAAGATAACCGTAAAATCTTCAAAATAGTTTTAAAAAAAAAATATTCGATATTAAAAACTGTTTATTTTTTTAGTCATATATGTAAAAGGTGCTTTTGGACTCGATCGAAACTGGAAAGTGAAGACTGAGCAGTTCCTGCCCAAATATGGCAATATCATTCCAATAATTGCTTGATCTGGCTCTTGTAAATGTAGAGTAAAGAAGGAGGAGGCAGGTACTTACTGGATCGGTTCAGAGAAACGGACATTTTTTTTTCAGCAATAGGATACACCGAGGTATTTAAAGTGTGTAAAATTCCATGGCAGATTTCATGGCAGATTTTGTTGCCATTTTATATTTTTTATTTCGCGCATGCGCTTTTTTTGTTTTTGATTTTGTCGACTGCGCAGTATAGTAGGGTCAGTTGAGCTCCGTCTGTGAGAAAACGAGCACTATGACGCAATGCCTTCAGCCAGAAATTTGGAAACGGCAAGCTATACTGCTTGGCACTCGCACCGGAACTTCAATACAAACACTTCAGAGTGCTTGGGTGTCAATCTGAAGAGACTTCAGGGGATTCAGAAAGAGTTAGATGAGTCTAATAGTGATTACGACGGTACGGTAACTCGGAAAACTCACTGATAGTTCTGATAAGAAAATAAATCCCGAATTTGCTAGTGAGGGCTTCAGATTCAACACGGAGACTTAAATCAAATGCCATGAAGTAGTAGCACTGCCCTGTGTCAAGACGGTGGCTGCTGGAAGACTTTATGTCTGGCAACAGGACTCTGCCCCATGCCACACAAACAGGAAAACCCAGTCATGGCTGTCAGAGAATTTCAACGACCACATTACCCCTTACAACTGGCCACCTAACTCTGCAACGCCATTGATTATTATGCGTGGGGCGCAGTTGAGTGAGAGACCAACAAAACTCTTTATAACATCAAAAATGAACTGAATGCAAGGATTATGGCAGCATTCACCAACTTAAGCAAGGAGACCGTCCAGAAGAGCTGCAGGAGATTCCGAAGTCGTCTGGATGTCGTAGTTGAAGCCAATAGCGATTTTATTGCATAAATTTACTCTTTCGTATTTCAAGATATTTTTGTGTAATTTTGGTAAATATATCTCTAATAATAAGATGTCAGTATTATTTTATTTTTTATGTAGTTTAGACGACAATTTAACCATCGCATTATATATTTCAAGTGTGACCTGGATGTAAGAGATATTTTGGGTTTATCTTATATCCGGGTTTCTTATATTTTGGTCTATTTTGTTTAGGTAAATATATCTCTAATATGTGTGTATATATATATATATATATATATATATTTTCTGGATATAAGAGAGTTGTCGGGACGGAGAAGAAATCTTTTATCCGGGTTTCGTAGTTTGGGACCAGAAAATCTCTTATATCGACTGTATATGTGTATATATATATATATATATATATATATATATATGTGTGTGTGTGTGTGTGTATATATATATATTTAACCTGGATATAAGAGAGTTGTCGGGACCGGAGAAGAAATCTTATATCCATCCTTATGTCGGGTTTCTCTTATATCCGGTTTGGTCTATTTTGTTTATATATACTTTGGGACCAGAGAAAATCTCTCTTATATGGGTTAACCTATATATATATATATATATATATATATATGTGTGTGTGTGTGTATATATATATACAGTGTAACCTGGATATAAGAGTTGTCGGGACCGGAGAAAAGTCTCTTATCGGGTTTATCGGGTTTATCTTATATCCGGGTCTATTTTCTCTTATATCTTTTTTGGGGTTTGGTCTATTTTGTTTGGTAACCTGGTAAATATCGGGACCGAGAAGAACACTTTGGGACCAGAGAAAATCTCTCTTATATCCGGGTTACACTGTATATGTGTGTATATATACATATATATATATATATATATATATATATGTGTGTGTGTGTGTGTATATATATATACAGTGTAACCTGGATATAAGAGAGTTGTCGGGACCGGAGATATCCGGGTTTCTCTTATATCCGGGTTTATCTTATATCCGGGTTTCTATTCTTATATCGGGAACACTTTTGGTCTATTTTGTTTGTGTGTATATATATATATATATATATGTGTGTGTGTATATATATAACACTTTGGTTGTCGGACCAGTCTCTTATATCCGGGTTTAAAATCGGGTTTCTCTTATATCCTATTTTGTTTAGGTTACACTGACAGAGAAAATCTCTCTTATATGTGTGTATATATATATATATATATATATATATATATATATGTGTGTGTGTGTGTATATATATATACAGTGTAACCTGGATATAAGAGAGTTATCGAGACCGGAGAAAATCTCTTATATCCGGGTTTATCTTATATCCGGTTTCTCTTATATCCGGGTTTCTCTTATATCCGGGGTATTTGGTCTATATTTATATACATTAATATATGGCTCTAATTTGGGACCTTATAGAACTTATATCGGGTTTCTCTTATATCCGGGTTTTCTCTTATATCCGGGTCTCTTATATCCGGGTTTACACTGTATGTATGTGTATATATATATATATATATATGTGTGTGTGTGTGTATAACAATGCAGTTATGGAAATAACTGTTTGAATAAGTGTTGAAATAAATGGCTCTAAGTGAAAGAACTATTTCTTATACAGCTCTCGTAACTGTTGAATAATCTCTCGTATCATTTCTTCATAGTCAACCTATGAACTTTTCAGCCCACACTCGTATGTTAAAGTTTTTGGTGGGAAAGCTGGACAGAAGAGGAAGACATAGGTACGGGAGAAAATACGTTGCCAGTTTTTACGGCTTTTATCATTTAAAGTGGGTGCTGAAAATCCTCAGTTTGACTAAGAAGTAATTAAAAAAAAATTCAGACTCTTGGAACTTTCGTTACGTTTTCAGAACTTTTCAGCACCCTCCGTATATTTTGCTTTTTTGGAATGTGACGCACACCTACGTCAGAAGGTAGATAAATACAATGATATACAGGTAAAGATTGTTGTTGGTGCTTAAAATAAAATAGGTTTACCTGGCAATATCTCTGAAACCAAATTTCCTTTTTGGTCTGTCTCCTAACTGCTTCGATTTTTCTCTGTCTTTCTTCCAGGTGTGTGTCTTCCATGGTTCCACCTAATAAAATCACAAATGAAAAAAAAAAGTCATTTATATCAGATAAAGAGAAAGCATCTTCAGCTATTACAGAAACCTAGACATATTTTCCAAACATTCTTAGAAGTCGTCAATATTTGAGAGACACAAACCAGCCAGTTGAATGTCGAACCTATTTTAGGTTCCATCCCACACAATTATTTGCCATTTTTAATCAAATATTGATTTTGATTACATACACGTATGTTTTCGGAATTAGATTCGGTCATACCAAAATCATATAAACGTAGAAGTCAATTTATATTATAATTACAAGATTACCCCAAGCTTCTAATAAATGCGCAAACTACTATGCTGTATATATATATATATATATATATATATATATATATATATATATATATATATATATATAAGCTTGTTTGTGTGTGTTTGTGAATTTGCGTTTGTTTCTGTATGTGGTAGGTGTTTGCTTCTTTACGCGTGTGCGTGTTTGTCTATGTGTGAGTGTTCGCTTGTTTGCGTGCATTTTTTTTTGCTTGTCAGTTTGTGTTAGTATATATGTTTCATTGCCGATATATGTGTGATTACGTATCTGCGTCCTTGCGTGTATTTGTCTGTGCTGTGCGCGTGTGTGTATGTGAGTGCTTGTTTGCGCCTGTATATTTGTTTGTGATTACGTGTTCGTGTTTGTTTTTCTTGTTTGCGCATGTGTATTTTTGCAGGTTATTGTGTCCGTGTGGGTGCGTTTGAGTGTTGGTAAGTGTGCATTAGTGTATGTGATAGTTCTTGCTTGTATGTGCCAGTGTGTATGTGTGTATGATTATTTGTTTACGTGTGCATTTGCCTGTTGGCATGTCTGTGTTTGTGTATGTGTGAGCGTTTGTTTGTGTTTGCGTGTATATCTTTGTGTATGCCTGTTTGTGTTGGTGTGAGTGTTTACTCGTTTGCGCATGTGTGTTTATGTGCGTGTTTCGGTATACCTGTGTTTTTGTATGCGTGTATGACTGTGTGTGCGTCTGCATGTCGATATGTGCGTATTTGTGTATGTGGTAGTGTTTGCCTGTTTGAGTATGTATGCCTGTGTGTGTTTGTGTATGTGTACGTGATTATTTTTCTGCGTTGTCAGTTTATGTGTATATGCATTCGTGTGTGTGTATGTGTATGCGTGTACGTGTGCATGCGTTTTCTTGTTTCTATGTATATGTTTGTACATATACGTGTGTTTGCTTGATGGCGTGGATGTATTTGGATATCTGCGTGGATGTTTGTTTCTATAAAGTGTGCTTGTTTGCGTATATGTATGTCTTTGCATATGTGCGTTTATTTGTTTGTCTATGTGTTTGTGTATATTTGCTTTTCTGTGTTTGTAATAATTTGCGTGATTTTGTATGTGCGTGTTTCCTTGTTTGCGTTTTTATTTGTGTATGTGTGTTTTTATGCGTTTGAGTTTGAGCGTGTGCCTGTGGTACGTTTGCTTTTTTGTTTGCGTATATGCGTGTGTGTTTGCATGTGTGTGTGAGTGTGCACATGTGACAAAGGGATTTGTGTCTGAGGCTTGACGGCTGAGACAGATGCGTATCCTACACTAGATACATATAAAGAAAATTGCAAACGTAAGGTAACAGACAAATCCCAAATAAGGGGTACCATTATGTAACTTTAGCAATGTATGCATCTACAATATGTTCCATATATATATGGTGGGGGTATGTGTGTGTATAAGATAATTTAGAAAATTATATTGATATCAGAAATAGACGTTATCAGAAAATGCATTTTATTTCAACCAAAGCCACATTCTTCTTCTATGAGCCGTGTCCCTTCAGGACGTTGGCGATCATCATCAGTCCATGGCATACTCAACATCATTCTGTAGGGCAACATTTCTGCTGCTTCAGTTCTTTTCTTCATCTGTGATAATCCACGATTTACTGACTTATATGTGAACTGATAGTACGTAAGTACTCTTTGATTCTAACGATATTTTTTATCTGTTTCTTAATACTTTGCTTAGCTTTTGAAAGGCATCTTTCGCTATCCCAATAAACCTTCGGATTTCAGCGCCACTGTTTCCGTTCCTATTTAAAACGTTTCCCAAATCTCAAAAGCCACATTAGCGAAGTAAAAATTGATTCACGTTAAGCATGTGAACGCTTGATTTAGGTTTTTTACTGTGTCGTAAAAATTTGATTTTATAAATTTCGTAAGAACAGTAATAAGCTGAAATCTGTCATACCTGACGTACCTATTCTATTATTAATAGACAGATAATAAGTAGTAGTAGCAGTGGCCAGTTGGGCTCAGTGGTGTTGAGCGAGTCAGTCGATATCGGACATTTAAGTACCAACCATCACAACTAGATTACTGCGTCATTAACTCTTATTTCAAGTTCCTAACGTTTTGTACGTCGAACCTAATTTAGGACGACTTATTGAAATACAAGCCTCCACTGTGAAAACTACTCTACAACAAAATCGCAGTCACATCTTAATCGTAAGGGATTCACTAACAATGTGTCTTCAGCCGATTAAATTATATTACTTGTTTTAATAAAACATCATTTTCAAGGTCAAAATTCTATTCCTGAAGGTTTCAGTAGCATACCCTGAGTGTATTGCTTAATTTTAATTTACTTTAATAATAGTATGTGATTTTCTTTAAATTTCGGGATGTTTCCCCGAAATATTATTATGGACATTCCGTGCATTCTACTTAGTAGACTTCTCTTTCTGATGTAAATTTAGCTCTATTTTTATATTGATTAAATTATATTGATGCTTTATTAATATATTCACACAATACGAAATTACGACGAAACAAAATCGAACATAGAACTGAATTCTTAGAAAAATAAAACAAACAAAAAATAGCAGGAAAAAGGGAATTCTCAAGCCTGACAAATAGTAGCTTAAAATCAGCTGCAGTCAGAGAAGATTTAAGGGTCACATAAATTCTATACACAGGACTGTCCCACGGGAAAATATTATTAAAGATTAAAGCGTTGGTTCGTGAATTTGTAGTAATTGTGAATTCAATTCCTGCGCCGGATGTTGCAAACTGAGCAATAACAGAGCAATACTAAATGACATGAACAGTGAACAATCTATCCCCGTAGATTAAATAAAGGTTAGTAGGAGGTTATCCGTACCGATAAGCCCCTGATGAAGTCCTGTTGTTATTATCACATTTCGACCGAGCTGTTGTGTTAATTTTGTGGATTCCGAGATGTAATCCGGTCTCAAATGAATGACAAACGCAGGAATGAAATATAGCAAATAAATGTATTGACGTAATAATACAATTGGTAATACGGTTAGTAGATCCAGAAATGCGGTTAGTAGCAATAATAATATATATACAGTCTAGGAAATTCAGTATCTAAGTATGACTTCCTTCTGAGTCTACGTGCTCGCAACTGTGACTCCTACAAAGCGGTTACCTCACACTCTCACTCTCTCACTGTATCACTGTCACTCTCTGACTGAACTCCCGGGTATTCACTGGCAGCAATACAAATACACCCTCGGCGAGTCCACTTGTATGAAAAAGGGGTGGACCCCTTAACAGTTAATAATAACAAAGCTGAGGCAAATAGTCCGAATATATATATAATGTAAATAATAAACAAATATCACCTTCTACTAACTTCCTAATATATCACCAAATAGCAAAAACATATTCCAATTCCATTTGGTTGGGATTAGAACTTTTAGCAATCCTTTCTCAGTGTGTTCGCCATCCTGGGAAACCTATGTGTTTTAAACAGGGATTCTGCGCCTGTTTCAGATCGGCTGATAGCTGATAATTTCTGTTATAACATCTTCAAGTGTAGGTGTGACAATATCTGTTTAATGGCTTGGCCTCGTTTTGAGATGTTCTTTCAAAATGAGGTTACCTTGAAGTCATGATGTCTTCCTGTCAGCATTTTATGTACAATACAGGGAACTTTATGCCTTTTTACACGACGAAGTGAAATATATTCGAATAGCCTTTTTTTTTTTTTTGCTTTCAGAAAATAAAGATGAAAAGAAATAGTTGCGTTGTGACCAAGTAAATAGTTGACAAAAAACCAGGTTTGCAGATATATCATATATTAAACCGTAAGTAGACCAGAAGAGTATTACACGACTAGTGAGAGTGTATCGAATGAAAGAGCGCTCAATCTAATCACAGTTCACTATCCCCCGAACCTTCTGTCCTTTTAGTCTTATAATAGGCGGAAGAGTCTAGCATAAACTCTTAAGAGAAGAGGACACCACAACAAGTTGGTAAAAAAAAATCATACACATATATATTACAAAGATTTGCTATTGAGAAACTACTCACCTGGTACTCATAAGAAGGTTTCAGGAAATAGTTGAGCATCTCCTGATGATAAACGGGGGTCAAACTTCCACTGATTGGTGGCACGATCCATACCCAATCAGCCGGACATCCACCTCGAATACGTTGTTCATTTTCAAAATGTTTCATGAAGGATTCAGCCGCTGTGTGGTGGTCGGATATCGTGACGTGCATTGACTGCAAGAAGGAAAAAAAGTTTAAAAAAAAAATAGAATATATATCTGTTCTGAAAGAAGTAGATGACTACTTAAGAAGTTAACCGAAAATATACCAGACGAAATAGGAATAGGAATAGCGAAAGTGCCTTCTGGAAACTAAGCAAAATATAAAAAGATAGGAAATTTTCGTTAGCAAACAGAAATGAGTGCTGTAATATCAAATCTCCTATTTGGCAATAAATACTGGTCAATTTCCTAAGCAAGTAACCCACTTAACAGAAATGACTGCCGTAGGAGATATAGCAAAGAAAAACTTTACTTAGGGCTACAAAGAACAGCAAGTAGTGGAGAGCCATGTTTGCCCACGTCCTGAATGGACACGGCACATAAAAGAAGAAAAACATCTCCTATTTAGCAGTGAATGCTGTACAATTTCTTCTGTCGGTGACGCTCTTAACAAAAATGACTGTTGTAGGTGATATAACAAAGAAAAAACTTTAGTAAAAGCTACAAAAGACAGAAAGTTGTGGAGACTCGTGATCGCTCACGTCCTTAATGGACATAACACTCAGCATATATAACATATTTAGTCTCCCATTTGGCAGTGAATGCTGGACAATTTCCCGTAATCCACTTAACGACTGTGTGTTAATACATGGTAGTGGGAGTATAAATAGAGATGATGATGAAAAAATGTGCGTGGTGGTGTAATGGATATCGTCTAGGAATGCGAAATCGGAGAACCGAGTTCGAATTCCAGTCGAGTTCGCTACATTCACTTACGCACAAATACCCCTGGGAAAGTTATGAATCCATCTCTACTCCCATCTATGGTACTAGACTTCTATAGACTGGGTTCTATAGCCTTGGCTGGCAACCAGTCTACCGCAGAAAGACACGGTCAACTATTTTACTTTGTCCGTCATGAATCGAAAAAGATATGATCGCCAAAGCGTGTATCACGTGTGGCACTTAAGAGACTGATGCTCATCTTGAAAGTATGAAACTTCTCTTCCCATCTATGGGTTAAATAGCAAGACAGACTGGATTCTATAGCCTTGGTTGGCAATCGGTCTACTGCAAAAAAGAAACGGCAACCGCTTACTGCAGGAAAATCTTCTTCCTAGTTAATTGAAAGAGACATGATTGCCCAAGCATGTATCACTGATTGAATGAAAAAGTTACTTTAAGCATCAAAAGAAAAGAAGTTGAGGAGGGCAATGAATGTGGCGCACACGACAGGTGAGCACGGACAAAGAGAATTTTTTTAAAAACATTTCTACGGCTTATCAACATTTGCAGGTTAATTAAACCCAGAAAAATTTTTAGATTGTAAAATTTTTGGAGATAATAATTTAGTGATACTCGTCTTGTGTGGAGAGAAGAGATGGATTCATGCCTTTCCCAAGGTTATTTGCGCGTAAGTGAATATAACGCACTCAACTGGAATTAGAACCCGGCTATCCAATTAACCATTCAGAGCGATTATCTATTACACCATCTCCACATCCAAACTTACAGCACCTGGTATTCCCAAGCGCTCACCCATCTAGGTACTCAACAAGCCCGACGTTGCTTAACTTCGGTGTTTCAACGTGATATAGTAGTAAGCATTTAAAACTTATGTATATGTTATGATGTTGATTTGGGGTTAGTAGAGACAAACGCCAAATAACACGTAACAATAAAAAGGGTTTTAATAGGTTGGTAAAAAGGTACAGAAATCGCCTGAGTAGTCAATAACTAGCTCAGCTAAGAACTTCTCTGTCTATCTGTCTTCCTGACATGCCACTATTTAAAGTCTTTGTTCGCAGACGCAGACAAGTTCATCTTCAAGAGGGGTGGTAGGTTTCCGACACAACAGTATAAAAAGCACAAATGGAACTGAGGAGATGTATATGAAAAAATCAGATATGTTTAAAATGAGAAATTATACTCGTTTGCAGTGTGCTTTCAAGTTGAATCAGCTCTGAGGATGATTGAATGATCTAATAGTTAAAACTGACGACACAATAAAAGCTTTGTCGGTATTCGTTCCGAATAAGCGAATAACGGGTTGGTTTAATGTTGGTGTTAATGAAGAATGAATTAATAAAACTTAAGAAACAAAGGACAGCAGATAGGAAAAAAAAAGAATTCTTACCTGAAAGCTATAAAGAATGGCAACATTCACTTCCACCACGACACGATCTTTCCACAAAGACGAATCACGATTTGTATCCAAACCCATGCGTTTGCCAAAGGTCTATCAAATACAATAGACAAATAATTTTTTAATTATTTTTTTTAAATTTATAATGATTTTTGTTGAATTTGAATAGATACCGCTAATATTAATATGAAATGAATTCAGAATTTGCTTCTGAAAAAATACTTGCCATTTTGTATTTTAATTTTCAAATATAAATTATACGTTTCTTTTCTTTTTTTTATTCCTTTTTTCTCATTCCGCCCCAAGCAAGATGCTAATCCCACTAGGATCCAAGGGGTTACTGAGTGTAAAAGAAAATGAAGTGAAAACTACTGACTTCTCGCACAGGTCTTCTCAAAAGTCTACATCTGCTCGGAAGTCCATGGGCGCTAACTTTTTATTTTTCGTATACGAAACGTAAACAAAGTAATTTCTAAGAAATTAATGCATTTTATTTATAAACCAACATTATTATTAATAACTTTCAATGTTATATTTTAGTGGATACGCGTGTTTCGGTAGACTTCCTGATTTCCCGGTGGCTAGGATCAAAGTGTAGTATCTGCGCTTTGTGAGCTGCCGGGTCGGGTGTCTGTCGAACTCTCTGCTTGCAGAGAGGAACCCGGACGAAGCTTCGCCGAAGGGTGGGGTTTCGTTGGGGGAGGTTGACGGAACTGGCCCGCCTCGGCGGGTTTGGATGGTTATTTATTTTTGGCTGTCCCTACGGGCTCAGAGATACCCACATTAAAAAGGCCTTGTGCCACATTCGATCCCCGTGGGTGGATTGATAAATAACACTTCCTGATTTTTTTTTATTTTTTGGTTGTAAATTACATATACCGGTTAGCGAATTCAAGAGTCTTAATATATATATCAACGTGCGCTCTTATAGTGTTCGAACCTGCATCCCCATTTGTGGGGTACTACTGTCTGATACGCGTTGTTTTAGAGAGGGCTTCATAGCCCAGCAATGTTCAAATACCCTTTTAAGCAATGCACAGGAAAAGTCTTTGTGAAAGTCTACATTCGCTAGAAAATTCATGTTAGCTATTTTCAGTTTCGTATCCGAAACATAAATAAAGGAATTTCTGATGAGGAATTATTGGATTTTATATTTTTTACCCGACATTATTTCTTATTATTAATTATATATATATATATATATATATATATATATATATATATATATATATATATATGTGTGTGTGTGTGTGTGTGTGTGTGTGTGTGTGTGTGTAACGAATGCACGACCACAATTTTCGACGGATTTGCACCAAAATTTACATGCACATGCTCCAAGCTAGTGAAAAGGCCAAGACCGACTTTGCATTTCCTAACTCCCATCGATAGTGGAAATAATCGATTTTGTCATGCTTCTACGGCAGTTTTCATGTAATTTGCGGCCATTTTGTATTGGCCAGAGTGAGAGCCTATAGCCTGGCTGCCACGAATAGGCAGAAAGATTCTATTGGCCAGCGTGAGAGCCAGCAGCTGACTGACACGAATGCTAACTAGCATGCTAGCATGCAAAAAAATCAGTAGATGCATTCGTCACAAGTGGGAAAAATTTAAATCTGCATGGCACTTTACTCCAATTGGCTCATTCACTTGCTTAAACTCAACGTTGATTCTGATTCCGCAGAACTGTGTCGGGTGTGAAAAATCATTTGTTGTTAACATTCTTTTTTCATTCGGTTTTTCCAGTTATGAGTCCTTTTGTAAAGCTGATCGTTTTGTGTTCATTTTGTTTAGTTCTTTTTTCGTAACAGATTTAATGTTTAGTATAGAGCTTAGAAAAATTCGCAGTGTGATATAGGAAAGAAGTAAGGCATGTAGCAACATCAGCACGGCAAAGGACACTCCTTTAAAGGCAAGGAAGGGCAAAAATATTTTAAGTCAAGTGATAGCGATTGCTGTACGAGTCGTACGATTTTTAATCAAGCTGGTTTTGGCTAACGCCGGTCATGCTGCTAGTATATATATATATATATATATATATATATATATATATATATATATATATATATATAAAGACTAAAGAGATATAGCACAAAGAAGAAGAAGAAGAAGAAAAAGAAGAAGAAGAAGATGAAGGTAAGTAGACCAAGAAGATAGAAGAAGGTAAAAAAAGGCAAGAAAAAGAAGTTAAGAAGAAGAAGAAGAAGAAGAAGAAGAAGAAGAAGAAGAAGAAAGTAAAAAGAATACGGTAAAAAGACGAAAAAAATAAGGAGTAAGAATAAAGTATGAAGAAGAAGGTAAGCTAGCTAGCTAGCTAGATAGATAGATAGATAGATAGATAGATAGATAGATAGATAGATAGATCAAGATGAGTAGATCAAAGGAGATAGATAGATAGATAGATAGATAGATAGATAGATAGATCAAGATGAGTAGATCAAAGGAGATAGATAGATAGATAGATAGATAGATAGATAGATAGATAGATAGATCAAGATGAGTAGATCAAAGGAGATAGATAGATAGATAGATAGATAGATAGATAGATAGATAGATAGATAGATCAAGATGAGTAGATCAAAGGAGATAGATAGATAGATAGATAGATAGATAGATAGATAGATAGATAGATAGATAGATAGTGATTGATTGAGAGAGAGAGAGAGGAAGAGTATCCGAAAAAGTTCCATGGAGGAGCAAGATCTGTCCGGCCGCAAATAAAAACTGGGAGCGAAAAGATGGCCTCCTGTCGCCGATGTGAAAAGCGCATGCGTTTCCCTCGATTTTCCATCTGAGAACCTGGACACACAAAAATGATAAAACACACATAACATAAAAAAAAAAAAACAGATTGGATTTCGTCTGTCAGATTTCGAAACATGAGTTTACCTTGGCTAGGTTGTATCTGTATTCATCACATAAATTACGAGCACCGATTTCAGTGCCCATGTACCAGCCATTGAAAGGGGCGGCCGTGAATTCAAGGCCGCCGCAGTCGAACAACAAACTTGATACTCCAGGAAATGCGAACCATTTTAATCCCAGCTCTTCAAACCATGGGTAACTGCAAAATAAATAAATAAATATATATTTTTTTTTTACCCTGTTTACATTGTACGGACTATCGTCCTCATCATTGTTGTCATATTTATCACAACATTTCGGCCGTTGTACGCTCTGGCCTTCTTCAGGTGGTTGGAATGTCGAACTGAAACTTTTATTTCGCTCTCTAGAGTAGACTGTTCTCCAAGTTCCACAGGTATTGCCATGTCAAATAAATGTCTGAAGATGAATCAAACCTGTTCGAAAGTCGTCAAACATGCGTTGAGTTATAAAAGTTACACTGTCAAATCATTGTTAATTTCCCTCCAAGTTCTCCACTGCCGGTTAACCAGGTATTGAACTAAACATAGTTACTTTTGGGTCCATCATGATCACAGTCTGGACGATACAAAAGCTCGGTTTGAAATCAACCAATAACAAAACAATTATCAGACAGGGGACATTTTACACAAAAAAGAAGATGTCAGAAAGAAGGTTTAGTAGAAAAAGACAACGTCCTGAAAGCCTTTAGCACAAAGAAGAAGAAGAAGAAAAAAAAAGAAAAAAAAGATGAAGAAAAAAAAAGAAGAAAAAAGAAGAAAAGAAGAAAAAGAAAAAGAAGAAAAGAAAAAAAGGAAGAAAAGAAGAAAAAGAAGAAAAAAAGAAGAAAAAAAAAGAAAAAAAAGAAAAAAGAAGAAGAAAAAAGAAGAAAGAAGAAGAAGAAAAAGAAGAAGAAAAGAAGAAGAAGAAAGAAGAAGAAGAAAAAGAAAGCAAGAAAAACAAAAAGAAAAAAGAAGAAAAAAAAAGAAGAAAAAAAAAAAGAAAGAAGAAAAAGAAGAAAAAAGAAGAAAAGAAGAAAGAAAAGAAGAAAAGAAAAAAAAAAGAAAAAGAAGAAGAAAAAAGAACAAAAAAACAAAAAGAAGAAAAAAAGAAGAAAAAGAAGAAAAAAGAAGAAAAAAAAAGAAGAAAAAGAAAAAAAAAAAAAGAAAAAAGAAAAAAAAAAAGAAGAAAAAGAAAAAAAAAAGAAAAAAGAAGAAGAAGAAGAAGAAGAAGAAAAGAAGAAAAAGAAGAAAAAAAGAAAAAGAAGAAAAGACGTAGAAAACAAAAGAATATCAGAATCTGAGAAAGAGAAGTAGAAGAAGGGAAGAAGAAGAAGAAAAAAATAATTATTTATCATTTTATAAGAAAATCGATTTAAGAACAACTAAATTAATTACAGATCTCTTCTTTTTTCCTGAAGAAAAAGTGATGTTCGGTCACAAACAAACACTTAGAACTAAGTCAACAAACGCGAATACTTGATCTTAATTCCAGTTAAAATACATATTAGTTGTTAATATGTTTTTTTTTTTTATGTATATTCTGAAGACATATACATCAAAAGAATTCCGTAATCCGAATTACTTTCTGTTTGATTTGGCTCTCCGCAGCAGATTTAATTGTCACTCTGAAACTGTAAACGCTAATGCGAACTGAATAAGACGATTTGATTCCTGAAATGTCCCAGCCGAGTATTGAACATAAAATACAAATCTTATTTTGCAGACGCCGGGTACTGCTTTAATAGACGAGGAAATCACGTTAAAGGACGCTCTGCTATTGGGTAATACTTTGAAAGTTGGTTTTGCATGCAGTTACGGCTGTAGTGAGTCGATTTTATGCTGGATACCTCAAAATGTCCTTGGCTAGACTAAGTTTAGTCAATATATATGCAAAGCAATTCTTGGAGGGCTAATCTCGTATTATGTCAGATCACTCGGCGAGTTCTGCTGGTACCAAATAACCCTTTACTACCTGCCAACTCGTCGGGTTATCAGCGACTCAACCGGTTGTCCATCAGAATGAGAAAGGTGACGAGATACGCAGCAGGATTAAAAACATGAACTGACGCGTAGAAATTCTTGTTAGGTCAGCAACCATCAGGTACAATGGAATTGACTAGGATCCCTAGCTATAGATTAACAAGTGCGGTGGTGATACGGCATCGTTGAGAGTTTCAATGGCCAAGGCAGATGGTGTTGTTAATTGTTTTCTTTAGTAAAATTTACGCAATAAAGGCCCAATAGCCGCACAGTGTAGGGAGTCACTGAAGAGGAAGTGGGAAGTGAGAATTGATATGGCGGATAGATAACGATTGACAAGCAACGCGGAATTCTGAAGCGATGGGGTATTTGGTGATTTTTACCATTTTCTCAATGTAGGACGTTCGATGATACATACCCCTAGCTCCAATTATTAATATTAATATCTATTTGTCTTTGTTATGGTTTTCGTTTTTGACCGGAGATCTTGCAATAATGGTTTTCTCCATCAAGTCGTAGGACCTCAAACAGCGCCTTTAAAAGCAACGCGGACTTCTGAAGCAAAGGGATACTCGGCTTTATCCCGAATTTCTTAATGCAAGTCTTCAGGTTCGATTTTGTTTACAGACACCAACAACTATTGATAAACGGAACAACAGTCAACTGAACGTGAACAAATTATAACAACATCATTTCGGAGGTCAGTATACTTGCTATCATTATTATTATTATTATTATTATTATTATTGTTGGAATTTCATATGCTCAGTTTACGTTTGAGATATACTACGTTCAGTAATAAAGGAATAAGTAAAGTTTTTGGTGAACTAGATTCAGAGAAATACAGAAATATAAATGTGCGAGATTTCCCCTCAAGTATTTCTTCACTAATATTAACTTGGAATTGTCACTGATTGAGGAGACGTTTCCATCACATGACATACGAGTGTCATTGACATAGAAAGTCATTCACATGATTAAGCGTTAAATGATGCATGTCCATGCGTAAGGCCCACTAGATTAAGATAAGTAGCAATAGAAAGCCACCAAAAGTGACGCAGTATAACATCCATCATGTCTGTACAAGGTGTATACTTGGGTACGCAAAAGTTCTCAGAACAACCAATCTCTTTTTCACTTCCCCCAAATAGGTTTAGCCTAAGAACATTTCGGCTCTCCTTATCTATGTATCTATCTATATATGTATGTATGTATGTATGTATTTATATATATATATATATATATGTGTGTGTGTGTGTGTGTGTGTGTGCGCGCGCGCGAGCGCGCTTGTGTGTGTGTGCAAAGCTTTCAAAGTTTTCAGATCAACCAATAACTTTTCCACTTCTCTGCGGATTCGGTTCGGTTACGATTTTTTTTCACCCCATCCCATCTCCCTCTCTCTCTCTCTCTCTATATATATATATATATATATATATATATATATATATATATATATGTGTGTGTGTGTGTGTCTGTAGTGTGTGTATGTGAAAAATTTTTCGTGTATTTCTTGTTTGTTTACAGGAGTACTCAAATCTTCTCAGAAAACAAAACACATAATATATATATATATGTGTGTGTGTCTGTGTGTATGTATGTGTGTATGTGTTTCTGTGTCTCTGCGTATCTTGTTTCTTTGTCTATGTGTGTCCGCAAGCTTCTGTGCATGCAATTTACCAAACTTATTAAATCAAAATTGTTATTTTGATTTTATGACACCTATACACAGATATGTTCACAATGAGACAGATAGATAGATAGATAGATAGATAGATAGATAGATAGATAGATAGATAGATAGATAGATATGGACAATGTGAGATAGATAGATAGATAGATAGATAGATAGATAGATAGATAGATAGATAGATAATGAACAGAATGGGACATTTATGATAAAGAATGGGAATGATATCTATAACTTACTTGGGATGCTTGATGGGAACTTCCATGACTAAATCCTTCGGTATTTCAAACCATTCCGGATCTTGGCCGTCTGCTTGCAACACTAATGGCAGAACATCAAACATGCCACCTTTTCCTTTCCAGCCAAGTTTCTGGCAAATCTACAAAAAGAAATTGGAAACAAGTGGAATCACAAAAATTGAGACCGAAATGATATATGGATTATCACATCAGTTTCTTATGTTCTTATGTTCAGGTATGTTTTGACGGATACCTACTAATTGATTCGATAATCAGCTTATTAGACGAGGGTTTGGTTAGTGGGGTTTGATTTATTTTGTTTTACGGCATATCAAACTCAATGGGTCATTTAATGCCGACAAGATGTTTAGGATAGGTTCGTATCAATAGAATATGTATTCAGAGTCTGTCTATATTTCTGAGATGAGGTATTATGTACAGTATTTACATTAGTCGGACTATTGTCCTCATCTTTGTCATCATATTTGTCACAACGTTTCGGCCGTTGTACGCTCCGGCCTTCTTCAGGTGGTTGGAATTTCGAACTGAACCCTTTATTTCACTCACTGGGGTAGACTGTTCTAGTTCCACGTGCCATGTTTGATGGATGTCAGTTATCAGTTATCTCCTTCTAATTTTCCCTCTGAAAGTTCTCCACTGCCTTAACCAGGTATTGAACTCACCTTCTTTGGGTCTGTCACTGGATCTAACCAATGCCTTTATCCACTGTGCCATGTGTCCTTGAGGACCTTGTGCCATATTTATCCTAAGCTAAGAAATCAAGTGGAACTAGAACAGTCTACCCCAGTGATCGAAATAAAGGGTTCAGTTCGAAATTCCCACCACCTGAAGAAGGCCGGAGCGTACAACGGCCGAAACGTTGTGACAAATATGACGACAAAGATGAGGACAATAGTCCGACTAATGTAAATACTGCAGAATATGTATTCGTTGGTCTAGCTTGGTTGGTTTATTTTGTTTTACGGCATATCAACCTCAATGAGTTATTTAATGTCGGCAAGATTTTTAGGATAGGTTCGTATGAACAGAATATGTATTCTTTGTAACAAATCATTTTTTAAAACCGGTTTCATCGACTTATTTTTGTAAAGTTTTTTTTTTTTTTTCTCGAGAGTCAAATGTATTGTTGGTAATTTTAAAAATGTATTGCTGGTAATTTTACTTTAAAAATCTATTTTTATACTTTTATAGCGTTTTGACCCCAGTTTAGGGGTTAACTATTTTGCCCGTAGCTGAGACCCTAACAGGTGCCACCCCGGGTCAGGGTGGACCACGGAACAACAGTAAGTTGTTCCACGCACCTCACAACCTTGCTGCCAGATGTAGTTTATCATCATACCCAGAACGCTTATTAGATGAGAGATGGTGTATGACAAGAATCATAGACAGATAAGAAAAGAGATAAGTTGATAGATAGCTGCTTATATGTTGGAAATTAAAATAATTGTTAACTTTTCGTATGTTCATTTATTTTGTAGACACATTGTATTTCATTTCAATATTTTAAAAAAATGTATCGAAGTGTTAAACTATTAGCAGACGTGTTGTCGTCTGCTAATTCAATGTTTTTTTACGTGTATTATCGTCTGCTTTAGTAATTATGTTTTATATACTTACGGAAAAAGTAAAGAAACGGACAGTGATCAGTTCATTTTGCTCATATAGCGTCTTCTTGTGTATGTGCAAGTTGACTCGTTGAAGATGCTCATGAAAGTGCGAGTTCGGGCCTTTTCAGCAGGGTTGTTTTGGTATCGCGACCGGGTTCTTTATACTGTGCTTTTGTCCAGAAAGGAGAGTGACGTCATCATCCCTTCCTCCCTCAACGCAAAAAGGTTGGATAATCATCTCATTAGATAAGAGATGACGTATAACAAGAACCGTTGCCAGATAAGCATATAGATAAGTTGATAGATAGAGATTTATATTAAAGAGGATAATGCGACGTAATGTTTTCCGAAACTTCTATCATTTAAATGATGGGTATCAAAGATAAACACACAATTATTTGAAACACCAAGCAGCGGAAAAGACAGATAGAAAGACTTGAACAACCTGAGATAGATAGATAGATAGAGAGATAGATAGATAGATTTGAAACGACTGAGATAAATAGGTACATATATGATTTTCTAAGCGTAACTTAGATGTGGAACAAAGCCGAAAGTATGGGGTATCCAATGAGGCTCGAACACACTTTTCAATTTTGATTTATCTGACTAGACAAAATCGAAGACAAATCGAAGCGCACTTGATTTCTTAGCTTAGGGTAAATATGGCACAAGGCCAAAAGTATAAGGCAGCCAGTGAAGATCGAACTCACTATTCAATCGTAATTGATTTAGAGAGACAAGCTTGCCAACCATTGCTCCACGTCGAAGTGTCTAGTAGATTCATATGGATTTAAATATATATGAGTAGAATGAGATAGATAGATAGATAGATAGAAAGAAAGAAAGAAAGAACGAAAGAAAGAAAGAAAAAAGAAACAGACTGTGATAGATAGATAGATAGATAGATAGATAGATAGATAGATAGGGTAATATTAGCCGTTTCCTTATATGGAAACATTTGACATTAATTAACATAGCAAGCAGTCCTACTCTCGTTTGAAATTTATAAAAACTTTCTATCAGGTCAACCCATAAGTTCTGTCCGAATTTTAACTTTTTGTTAAAATGAACGAAATTTAAAGACTATTTTATAATGTCTAATGGAGCTGAACATTATTTTTATGTTTAGATGCATTTAAACTGATCAAATTTTATTTCAGAGAACAATAAAATTAAATTTTGTTTGATTAAAACCCTGCTAACATGGAAGTATCCAAGAATCATTTGAGGCCCATAATGCTTTATGAGTTCAAGAAAGGAAACTCAGCAGCCGAAGCGGCTAGAAAAATTCACTCAGTTTATGGAGAGGAATGTGTGAATGAAAGAACTTGCAGAAGATGGTTTGCAAATTTCAGAGGTGGAGATTTCACCCTTGAAGATGAAGACCGAACCGGACGTCCAGTTGAGTTTGATGAAAAGCTTCTTGAAGCAGCCCTTGAAGAAAATCCTGCTTTATCAGTTGAGGAATTGGCAGTGGTTCTCAGTTCAAACCATACAACTGTTCATCGTCATCTTCAACAACTTGGAAAAGTTCCTAAACTTGAAAAATGGGTGCCTCATGAATTGTCTGAAAACAACCTCAAATCCCGAGTTGACATCTGCTCTTCTCTCCATTCTCGCCAAATGGTTTCACATTTTTTGGATAGACTTGTGACTGGCGACGAAAAATGGATCTTTTATCGAAATGTTAAGCGTCGTAGATAGTGGCTTGGTAAAGGGGAAGGAAACAGCCACAGCCGAGAAGGGAACTTCATGGGCAAAAGGTTCTTCTTTCAATCTGGTGGGATCGCCAAAGAATAATCCACTTTGAATTCTTACCACCTAATACAACAATTAATGCTCAAATATACTGTCAGAAATTAGAGCGTTTGAACCAAGCTTTGAGGAAAAAAAGACCTGCTCTAGTGAATCGAAAAGAGGTGATGTTTCATCAGGACAATGCGCGACCCTACACAGCAAGAATCACGTCACAAAAGATCAAAGAACTTGGTTGGGAGAAAATTCCTCATCCACCTTATTCTCCCGATCTTGCTTCTTCAGACTACCATTTGTTTCGTAGCTTACAGAATCATTTGGAAGAAACAGCTTTTGTAACACAGGAAGAGGTTAAGACTGACATTTGTGAGTTCTTCGAATCAAAGCCAAAAGAATTTTACAGTATTGGAATTAGTTAGCTTGTTAATAGATGGAAGGAAGTCATAGATAATCAGGGAAAATAGATTATTGATTGAATCTGTAATTAAATGTAGCATTTGGTGACTTGTTTTCTTTATTCAAAATTCGGATAGAACTTATGGGATGACCTGATATTAAAACTATCTTTCAAGAAAAATAGTTTTCTCAACTCCACTAATTGGTATCGCACATTGTTTATTCCTAAATTTGTGTTATATATATATATATATATATATATATATATATATATATATATATATATATATATAAATGAAATGGATTTTTTATTAATCCGACAGATTTTATTACTTTCAACGCTATTTCTAGTGGATACTTGTATTTGAGTCTATTAAATAGACGGAACGTATACTCAAATACAGTAAAATAAACATAATAAAAGTTTATATATTTATATATATATATATATATATATATATATATATATATATATATATATATACACGTTTCATTAAATAATATAGACAAGTGTTGTCTATTTATTTTATGTAAAATTTTTTCGTATCTTCTGATAAGTTTGATAACATTATCATTAACCGAAAAAGAAATTCACAATATTTATCCATTATTTTTTAATATAATCTAAGCTTTCGGCTTACTCAAGCCATTATCAAAGATGTAATTACAAACATATCAAACAATATACGGACACGACAGTGATGATAGTCTGTCATTGTTTAGTTTACATAGTGGATCACTAAGCAACGATGAACACGCGCATATAAGACGCTAGAAGCGAAAATCGCACCGCATCTCATGACGTCACACATGACTACACGAGAGTGAATTGGAGAATGAAATAAGGAAAGCCGTTGGTATAAACCAATGGCTTCTGTTACCAATTATAGAAATTATAGACATTTAAGAATATTTGTAGAGATTCCATAATTGATTTTGTTTAGGTTGGGTTTTAACTGTTTGATGTATAATGCTTCAAGTATTTTTTTAGTTTTTGTCTATTGTTTTCATGTCGAAGTATAGTTGTGTTTTCGACAAGTATTTTACGGAATTGTGTGTGCGGGCAGGCATGTTGTTTTAAATGCCTAAAAATGTTAGAGTTTTCATTAAAATGTAGTGTCAAGCGTCGTGAAAGCGAGTTTGTGGTGTGACCAACATAAATATTATTTAATTCGTTGGAGATACACTCTCCCAAAGGGCACTTGAATTTATAAACTATGTTGGTTTTTGCAAATCGCTAACCGGGGAGAAGAATCATTATGAAGTATTAAGTTGGATATACTAGATTTAGTGTAGTATATGATTAATTTAATTTTTTTGCTAGGATCTGTAGTTGATATATTAGAATTTACTAAATTTTTTAGTATGTGTTCATCTTGTTTATAATTAGTATGCATTTGATTACGATATAGGAGATTAATATATTTGAGATCAGTAGAAGCAGTATTATGTACAATTTGCTTATTATTGAGATTTCTAAGAAATATATAGAGAGAGAGGGGGGAGAGAGAAATAGATAGATATAGAAAGAGAAAAGAAGGAGAAGTAGAAGGAGAGAGAGTGAAAGAGATGGCATTTATATTCATTACCCTATACAATATCACTTGTTTATTCATCTTTAAGTATAATCAAGTCTCAGCTTTCTTATCAACAAGCATTATTAACTTCCTCATCGACACTTGAATAAGTCTTGAAAGTTCCTTCATGACACTAGTGCAGTTGATCAGACAGAAAATATTTTAAATTTGGCGCCAAGAAGTAGATAACTTTAGCTCAACTTTACTTGACAAATTTTAGCCAGGTCGATGGATTCGGAAGCTGGAAGTTAACTATAAATACCAACTCAAACAATGCATTTTATTTAAACCATATCTTTGTAAAGTTCGTCACTCATCTTTATCAATCTATTTTTCGTGAACAGTCAAAATGGGATGAAACGAAACAGGTTGGATTTTGCGTTTATGAAACTTATATTAGATTTTATTTGATACATTTGATGAAAAATAAAATATTCGTGTTATTTTTTAGATTTTTTTTAAACAAACACTAAAACAATATTGACTTTTCTAGTTAGTTATCTCCATAAGAAATAGAAGTTAATAATGTTTCGTTGGGAGTAGAAAATGGTTTAACCTCAAGTAATACGTGGCTTAGAGACGCTTGGGTTCGGTCAGGCTATCTTGCTCAAGAAACTAATATCGGCCATTCCCTCACAAAATAGTAGATAAACAGAACGAAGGAAAAGGTAAGACTGAACAGGACTTCGGTTGAGAAAACGGAAGTAGAAAAAAAGGACCCAAGAAGAAAAAGAGTAAAGGAATGTGTGATCATTGTGGTGCATTAATTGTCAAGGACGCAATTCGTGTCTTACTGATAAAATCGAACCTAAGAAAATATATGGGAGCTTTCAAATAAAGGCAATTTGTTAATAAATTTGTATTACATAAATGCACTGTGTGAATTCAATGGTAATTGCTCCGATGAGCTGCTTTCACTGGTTCCCAGACTCCATGAATTCAAGCGCCCTACGAGGCTGGCATCCCGCTCTCACCCTTTCACTGTAGAAACTTTTAAATTTAGCCGTCTCTTCTACTTCAACAGCTTCATATCTAACACCTCTCGCCTGTGGAACACCCTTCCCAATTATTGTTTCCCTGAGAGCTATAATCTCCAACTATTCAAATGTAATGTCAATCGACACCTCCAGTTACCTTGATCTATCCACTATCCTTCTCCTCATCCTTTCCTCTATCACTTCTATCTGATCTTGCTCCAAATCTTCTGCAACCCCCGGTATCCTAGTGGCTTCCCGCTTTGTTCGGGGCGTAATGCTTAAAAAAAATGCACTCACCTCTGTGAATTCCAAGCTTACGGGGTCTCCAGTGATGCTACCGTCAGGGTTTTTGTAGCCTGCGTATCGGATAATTTGGGCGTTCCATATTCGGAAATCGTGTTTACCGTCAGTTCTTTGAGGGAAAATAGTAATTGCTGACCTGTTTAAGATAAGAAAAATATATTTGGTTTTAATTTTTGGCAAAAATTCTTGTCCAAATTCATTTTATTTAAAATCCAATCTGAGTTGGTAGATAACAAGATAGCAAGAAAAATAGATGCCTTTTTATGTGGGTATGTATATTTTCGAACCGAAACATAATCTTGCATATAGCTTTCTCTCTCTTTTTCTCTCTTTTTCTCTCTATTTCTCTCTCTCTCTCTCTCTCTCTCTCTCTCTGTCTCAAAGCACATACACACACACAAACACAGACACACAAAAACATATATATATATATATATATATATATATATATATATATATATATATATATATATATATATATATATATATGTGTGTGTGTGTGTGTGTGTGTGTGTGTGTGTGTGTGTGTGTGTGTGAAAAGTGTATATAAATATAAATAAAATATATATATATATAATTATTTATATATTATATATGGTACTTATTAGAAAGCGCTCAATATCAGAGATAGAGCTAACATATTTGGTTGGATAGATCTATCTATCCAACCAAATATATATATATATATATATATATATATATATATATATATATATACTGTGGATGAGCTAGCAATTAAAGCACATTCTATACATTTTTGTTTCAGTAAATTGCTTTCTCTTTTTATTAAAGTAGTATTTTAGAACGAAATTACAGTCAATTATTATGGTATAAAACATTTTCTATATCATTTCTCCCATATATATATATATATATATATATATATATATATATATATATATATATATATATATATATATATATGTTTATCATTTTTTAAGAGTTATTTTTAGTGGATACTCGTATTTAAGTAGGCACTCCGTTTATTTATTAAACAGTATATTTACTTATTTTCGTCTACTGTCCTAAATATTTTAGGGTCTGCTTAAATTTAAAATTTTGAAAAATTAACGACATTTTCCCTCCATTTTTCTTCTGCTTATAAATAATTTTTTTGCAAAATAAAATCATTACATTTACCTAGATAAAGACCTTCAGGGGACAAAATGTGTTGGCAAAGAAAAGTTTTCCTTTCGTCTTTATTCATATTTTCTTCTTACAGATATATTTTATTTATATTTGACTTTTTAAATACATACTATCAAATATGCACACGCGCGCGCGTGTTCGCGTGTTTCTGTGTTAATCATTTCACTTCCAAAAAGGTGATAATGTCTCTAAGAAGCAAGGGCTTACAGACAATGGAAGAGAATGAGAAAACATCAGTGACAAAACAGGACAATAAAAGAACAGAATTCAGAAAGACAGAAGATGTCAATTGACGTTGCTTTTAAATTTTTGAAAATTGTAGGTGACAGGAAAGCAAGAACACGGAAGAGTGTCCCCCAGGTGAGACGTGCGAGAAAAGAAACCATTAGATTAGAACTTTCGGATACATCTACCGAGTTGAACAGTAAAACGAGGAAACCTGGTAGGCAATTCAGTGGAATTTAAGCATCAAGTGCGGTCAAGACACCAAGGAAAAAAGCCCACGAGAAAAATTACGATGAAAATAGTTATATAAAAGACAAAGGGAAGCCACGCCAAGATGGTGGAAAAGTTTCTGAAATCGAGATGCCAAGTTAGGACCGATAGCATTACAGACTCTTTGGATTATATTGAGAAATATAGCCAAAGCACCAGACCAGATATGTCAACAATATATATATATATATATATATATATATATATATATATATATATATACCTAGGCTATATATATATATATATATATATATATATATATATATATATATATATATATATATAGCCTAGGGTTAAGACACATATATATATATATATATGCGAAGGTATGTGTACACGCAGACATGTATATATATATATATATATATATATATATATATATATATATATATATATATATATATACTTCTCTCGTTTGTTACCCTCTCTTTAGCTCTAACATTCGTCCCACACTCTCATACTTCCACTGTCTCTAAATTATATTTTATTCCCGGAGTTGTTTTTCTGTTTGCTTTTTTGAATTTGTAGGTCTTATGAATTGATCATATTTACGATTCCAATGGAATAAATTATGACCATGGAATATTAGTGTTTAAGCCTTTATATTATATCCTTACTCTGTCCTGGACATTGAGTTCTACCTGGATTCTATCCTCTTGAATTTTTTATTCAAAAATATATATGTATGCATTTATATATATATTTATATCTTTTGCATATGCATGTGTATATTTACCACTAATATATATATATATATATATATATATATATATATATATATATATATATATATATATATATATATATACAATTAATTCATCGAGCCTTGATCTGGAACGCATCAAGGAATCGAACCCAGACAGTTACGATACGACACAAGCGACATACCAACTGTACCAACGACAGGATTGTGCCCCTGATGAGCGACGTCTTCTTTTCAGACGATACGGCTGTCCAGTGCTTTCTGCATTCTTTTGAGGATTCTTCTAGACTCCATGAATTAATTGGATTTGTATTGAATTACGCTCAGATAATTTCAGTGTTTTTTTATGCATATATATATATATATATATATATATATATATATATATATATATATATATATATCAATACACACGTGAACAGAAGAGTAGAATAGATATATAGACAAGTATATATATATATTGTGACGAACCCCCTTCTTCCTTCCTTCCAATCTTATCGATAGGGAAGGTAGATGATCGTAATCTGTGTTATTTTGTTTTTTAACATTTTATTTTTTTTTTTTAAATATTTTTCTTTCCCAAGGGTCTCTTTCCGATTGATCAGACACGGCCGAGCGGAATCGATTAAGGAGCAAACACGATAGGTGACAAACAACAATGGAGACAGGAAATATAAATTTATTAACAAACATGGAATCGTGGAAAAGATAAAAATAAAAAAAAACGGCCAAAACAAAAATGACGATATGTCAAGAATAAACATTTAAACATTGTGGACAAAATAGTGGGATGAGAGCATCCTCTAAGAAAGGTAAAATAAAAATCAACGTATGGTCTTGTGCTATACTGCCAGAATTTATAGAACATGTGCTATACCTACACGGATTCACAAAACATCAACGTGTTAAGACAATGTGAAAAGGAACATATAATAAAAAGATTTCATGCTAAATTTGCATGGAAGTACAAATACGAAAAAGAGGTACATTTAAACAAAAACGGGGTACAAGAAGAATAAACTTAACTCAGGATAAAGTCCTTTTTCACTAACATTTCTTTTCTTTTTTCTTTTTCCTTTTCTATTTCTTTTTATAGGGGTCTCTTTTTTAGGTCTTTTCTTACTTCCTCTCTTTCTCTTTTCGTCGTCTAGGGCGTCGGCTGATGATGAAGCAGAAAATACGTTCCCTCTCTCTTTCGTCTTGGTAGGACAGCATTCTCGCTCGAGATGGTCTGTTCTTTCTTTCTTTCTCTTCCCTCTCGTGCTTTGTTTAAGGGCTTGGTGACAGTTGAAACTGCTTTCTCTCTCTTCGATATAGCGGCGTTCCGCCTACGTCGTCAAAACGGGTCCATCCATTCGACTGGGAGACTCACAATATTGCAAACACATCTTTTAGGTCCATATACTGAGACATTTGCCAAACGTCCGTCCAGCCAGAAGGCCTGGACGAAGACTGACTTTTTCGTTTCACTATTCGTTTCCGTTTTCTTCTTGTCACGTGGTCAATTTTCAAAATACTAACTTTTTCCCATTATGGGTGGAATGGGGTCATCGACTCCCTCTCTCATCTTCAGGGTCAGAGAAAGTTTAGTTTAATATGTTTCAACCTATCCCAACCGGAATCTATCCGTGTAGATCATGCTGTCAACACCTTGACCAAAAGAGAAGGAAAGGGGACACTCTGGTCAATCCTTGTCGCCACTAAGTCTACCTATCTCTTTGGGTTTTCCTATCTTTACATTTTCTGCAAATACTGGGCTCTTTATTTTAGAATGCTTCTAAAATATAAGCAATGGCATAGTTTTTAATAAAAAAACTTTTTTTATAATACATTTAGATCGGGGTTCGTAACTATATATATATATATATATATATATATATATATATATATATATATATATATATATATATATATAATTATTTATTTAAAATATGATTCCAACTCGCGACATAAGAGGTCTCATGTTTCAAAACAAGTGCCGAAAACTTCAATATAATTATTTGAATTAAATTGAGTTAAAGTAAGCTCTGTTCCATCTTCAAGCGAAATTTTTGGGGGAATAACGTATTTCTGAAATTTACGTGTTTTAATAATTGAAATCAAAATTTCCATGGTAACAGCTAGGGCGAATTGTTTAAATTGGGTAGGCCGGTGTTGGATGTTATATATATATATATATATATATATATATATATATATATACAAATAGGCAAAAAGTTTATTAAGCTATAAATGGAAAGCACTACAGTGGTGAATTCCAATGCATAATTACGTATAAAATAAAAAAAAATCATGGTTTCTACTAGAAATATTTTAGCAAGCCACATTATTCATGTCACTAAGTTTATGGCTTGTCATCAACATACTTCATAATCGCCTTCATTTAATAAAATATAAAATAGCAAAAACAACCAATCGACAGAGTTTTGCTCCATAATAAAAAAGCCTTCACTTTTCTGATAATACATTTAAAAATGCTAAGTGATGAGTTGTTGAGTACATCTTTTAAATCTGTTGGCGCTAAAAAATAATGATTTGCTAGAGAAAGTCTTGGAGAAGCAAGCTAGGTAAAGAAAAAAAGATGAAATACCTGATATTTCCTTTGTTTGTCCCATATTTTATATGGTTGCAAATTGCCTCAAACATGCCTCGTGCCGTTTTTATATGTCGAGCATCAAACACCTGCAAAAAGAAAAGCAATAACACAATTTATTATTATTATTATTATTATTTTCTCTGATTTCTGGCGTTTACACATATGGGACTACACAATACACACTGAGAGAACAATCAAGGCCAACTGGCCAGATATTGTTATTAAAGACCACAAACAAAAACGATGCCTCCTTATTGATATGGCAGTCCCTGCTGACTGCAATGTATCTTTGAAGATATTCAAAAAGTTGTCAAAGTACAAGGACCTTGAAATAGAAATCTCGAAAATGTGGCATATGAGAACATCAACAATCCCTGTTGTAGTTGGAGCCCTAGGACTGGTTGGAAAAGATTGCAGTAGACTAATTGAAGGGATTCCTGGAAGTCCATGCCTCAAGGAGATACAAAAAATTGTTCTGACAAGTACAGCCCACACCTTACGAAGGACTTTAGCTATGTAATTTAATTATTATTATTAGTAGTAGTAGTAGTAGTAGTATTTCCTTTCATTTCTATTGTGTACAATTTTAATTCAGGCTCACAATAAAATACCTTAATTCAGAAATGGGTCCATGATATTTCTACCGATCATTTTTGTAAAAATAAACAAAGCAAAAAAAAAGAAAAAAAGATCTCGCATATTTTAAACAAATAAAACTCTTCATACTTGTGAGTACAACGTTTTGTATTTCTTTAAGGCATGGGCTACCAGGAATCCCTTCAATGAGTGTATCAGAACCTTTTCCAATCAATCCGTGGGCTCCAACTACAACTGGATTTATTGATGTCCTCATCTGCCACATATTTGATGTTGCCAATTCAAATTCCGTGTATTTCGATAGGTTTTTTTGAAGATCTTCAAAGATTCATTACGGTTTCCACGAACTGCCATGTCAGTAAAAAGCACATTCAGTTCTTGGGGTCTTTGGTTATCATGTCTGGACGATTAGCTTTGATTGCCTTGTATATGTGTATTGGAAAAATTCCATTAAATTGTTATAGGTTCACAGGGTCTGGGTGATGTTCATACCATTTTTTTTTTTTTTTTTTGCAGATTTTACTGTGTAGATATTGTCCCACTCTTTCATGCTGAGGTTTATATTCAGTGGGTGATAGGTTTAATATTTATATTCACTGTGCTACCTGATACAAGTTGATCAATTGTTTCTGAATATTTATCACAGAATCTGCATTTTGGGTTAACACAATTTTATTATCATTATTATTATTATTATTATTATTGTACCCTATTTTATAGCATATATGACGAACTCTAGAAAATGTCTAAAATAAGATCGCCTTGCCTCTTATAAGTAATGGTGAGACCTCTCGAATACTAATTTTATTCCCGTCGTTCACTAGAATTTTACCTTAAAAGGTCAGCTCTGCTTGGCCTGATTCGAAATGAAATTTTATTATTAGCCTATCATAATTGTGTATGGCCTGCCCTTCGTTAGTTCGCACGACCGTGACGTCATAAATAATAGACTATTCTATTTTGATTACTTGGAAAATAGAGAAAATACACTTACAGTGAGAAAATAAAAGAAGTGGAGAGAGAGAGAGAGAGAGAGAGAGAGAGAGAGAATCAGATTAAGCTGATAAGAACAGATACTAAACATTGATCTTAGTCAAAAGGCCGAGAAGCGATGGTGTCCGCGATAAAATGCCATTTTTCAGACACACAGTATCGAACGACAAAAACTGAGTAAGACAATCGCCAAAAATCCAGTTACCATAAATAAAATAATATCGTCTGCTGAATTATTTTGAAATTATTCTTAAGAGAAACGTCCATAAAACGTGGATTTGGCTAAGTGTTTAACGCCTCCTGCCAATACCTACTAAATAATGGACTATTTTGATTACGTGGAAAGAGGGGGAAAGACACTACTTGGTTTCAGTGAGAAAATGAAAGAAAGAAAAAAGAACGAAATGGGGACAGAACTACTTACATTATTTACATTATTCAGAGTGTTATCCTCATCTTCATTGCCATATTCACAACGTTTCGCTCCAACCCCTTTCGGGTGATTGGAATTTTGAACCGATCCCTTTATTTCATCCAGGGGGGGGGGTAGATTGTTCTAGTTCCACGTGCCATGCTCAGTTATTTCCCTTTAACTCAACTCTCCAAATTCTGGTTCTCCACTGCTGTAGCCTGGTATTGAACTCACAAGTCTTTTGGGTCTAGTCACTGGATCTAACCAACACCATTATCCACTAGGCCACGTGAATATGGCAATGAAGATGAGGATAAAAGTCCGAATAATATAAATAATGTACGTAATCAAAACACCTCCTCTCAGATATATAGACAGATATTAAAGATAGAACTGTTTAATGGCTGTTTCATTGAAATTGAAAAGTCGTCAATTTCAAATCGTTTCATTTGTACCCACTTCTTAAAATAACGAGATTTGTGATTGTTATTGCAATATTTTGTTAAATTTGTTAAGCTCAAATATTTAACGATTCGATAGGGAAATTTCTACGGGTGTTTTATTGTCGTTATGAATAGTTTAAATAGAATGAAAGACCAAAATGTTTCGAAAGTACCTTAATCGCTACATTATCCACAGAAAATTTGCGTCCAGGTTCTTAGAACGTTTCACTATACTTGACAGATCTTCTGTTATCGAAATATGGGATATTTCATAACATAATTGTTGGAAAGGAGAAAAAGAATCTAAATGAAATCGGTTAGATTATATACCGAAATCTATCTATCGCGATTTTCATAGCAAATGCTCAAACTGACTCTTGTTCCACCAATTCAGATCTACTGAGATGGGTGTTTGCTTCAAAATACCAGTTAACGTTAACTTGAATGTGCGGTTGTTGTAACTGATAATGGCTCAGAATTGTTAATCGGTGTGCCGAGTTCGAATTCCCGTTGGGTTCGTTATATTCACTTACGCGCAAATATCTTTGGGAAATACATGAAACCGACTGTTCTCCCCTAGCTATAGGTTAATTAGTTAAGACTTGTACCACTAAATCATTATTATTTAAAAAAAAATTCTTACAATATAAAAATATTTCCCAGCTTTAAATAACATGCAAAGTGTTGGTAAGCCGTAGAAAACGTATCAATCAATCAATAATTAACCAGTTCAGATCTTCACAGCAAAGGTCTGCTATGCCACATACAAAGGACCAACTCATTCTCTTCGTATTCCATTGGTAAGGAAGATGTTCCACTTAGCTTCTTTTATTTTGTAGAACAGACACCCAAGAGGATGCTTCCCCGATCATGACGATCTTAACTTCAAGTCTAAGATAAACTGTTATCTATCCTGAATCTCCTCATAAAATGCACGTCATAATCCTCTTATTCCTTAACAACAACCTTATTCAGTAACCATCTACCTTGAGTGGCTCTTGGGCCTTTTACTGGGTGAACAATTTGAGACATTCTTCGTATTTGTTTCATCTTATTTTCCTTTTTCCCATCACACCGTTATTCGAGGACCATTAATAAACAGCGCGGATGAGATATACAGGGAAATGTTTAATATGTCTCGAATCCGTTTTTTCTCTCTTGAAAGCCCGTCTTTCCATGACGGCTTCTATATCACTTCAGCTACGAGAACTAACGTTTGCAGAAGATCGAATATAATCATATCGACCTATTGCCTATTGCCTCTTACTGCACAAGAATAAGCGCTGACAATTTGTGCTCATTATATAAAACGCAAGAGTATTTTAAAGTCTCTTCTGTTGATTGAAAAAATTCACAATAAAGAATGCGTTTCAAACATCCAGCAAAAAATATCACCAGTCTATAATTTCGAGAAGAGGTTTATCGTTTTAATAGTTTTTACTCGCCTATTGTTTTTCTTTTCTTCTGTAAAAATATTTCTGATAATTTAAACATGAAAATACATTACGTTAGACAAATTCCTCAGAGATGAATAAGAGACTTAAAGTGTCAGAGACGTGGTTCTACCGACAAACAGAAAGAACCCCATAGACAGAATATGTGAGTAAATATGAAGATTCAATAAAGAAAGCTAGGTTGGAGAATTTAACACCCACAGGAATATGTTGAAGACCAAAGAATCAGAATGAAACATCAAGCAGCCGAATCAACAAGTTTGAGTAAGTGGATGGTAGATTATAGACAAAAGAGTCAAAATTTGTTTAGAACAACAACTTAAGAAGTTGTGGAGAGCCATGACAGCCTATGGATTAAATACACGTAACAGAAGAAACAGAATAATTCAAACCCCTAACCCAAAGTTCCTCACCTATAGATAATTTCTTAGGTTAAATAAAGCACATAGGAGGACGAAGTAGTTATGTAATCAGGGATTATCTACGAAATTAGATTTCTGCCTAATGGTAATTATGTTAGCTATTTTTATCTTTAGAATGGTATCATCGAAGAGCCGAGTTCTAATTCCAGTCGGTAAATAACTTTGGGAAAAGTATGATCCACCTTTTATCCCCAGAGCTATGGGTTAATTAGTAGGATTTGTATCAGTAAATTGTTATTATCTCTCAAAAAATTCTTATAATCAAAAATATTTTCTGACTTTAAATAAACCGCAAAATGTTGATAGTCCGGAAAGAATCAAAGATTACTGTTCCTGAATCTAATGGTGACCATCCGGATCTCCTCTGGGTGCTTCATAAATGGGGACTTTTAATAAAACTGCGTTAAATAAATGCATGTTTCGATTTTCGAAATAGAGAAAGGGAAACTGACTCAAACAGAAAGTGGCTTTCATCGGCAGAATGAGAAAAACTAAAACCAAAACAAAAAACGAACGAGCAAGCAGACAATAGGAAAAAAAAAGGTTGGACATTCCCCCAACCCCTTAAATGTTACTCTGCTGTTGGCACCAAAGCAGTTTTACTCACAATAGTGGCGCACCTGTTTTTTATTCAAGTGTCGACAAGAAAGCAATTAGCAAGAATTTTTTTTTATCTTATAGAGCTGAAAGATAATATCAACTCAGCCGATACTGAGCTATTTCTAGCTATTTCACCAATATATTTATCTCTGACACACACACACACACACATATATATATATATATATATATATATATATATATATATATATATATATATTGTGTGTGTGTGTATTTAGGCAACATTTTTCATTCATATGAAAAGAATTTACATAAAATAAATAGACAACACTTGTCTATATTATTTAATGAAATATGTATGAATATATATATATATATATATATATATATATATATATATATATATAAGAGTTATGAAGAACTTGATAATCCGTATGGGTAATCCCAAGGAGGATGAAATCCTGAGAGCTCAATGTAAAACCAGAGCTAATATTTAAAAGAAAAACAGACCACATTAAGGTACCATTACAATAATTTATTTCACCAGAGTCCTTTTAAAAAGACGCCGGATCATCAGATAACACTTCCAACAACGAAATGAAGCGGAAAAAATTCATATATATATATATATATATATATATATATATATATATATATATATATATACCCAAGTATAGGATTGGTGTATACGAAACAAATTCCAATAACCAATAAATACTATTCTTAAAAGATTGCTCAATACAGAGTAGAGCAAATATAATTATTTATTCGAAAATTATAGCATAAATATGTTATGAAATCACTACAAAAAAGCCATTTTGTTTCAACACTTCTGGTGTCTTATCAAGGGATGGTGTTGAATGTATAATAAAGGGTTTTAAAAGGTTCAAATCAATCAAACACTCCTCGCTCTTAGGTGAACATATGGGAACTAGTTAAGACTACATATAAACTTTGAGGTATCATGGTGGCTGTAGTAAGAATGGTAAGTAAGAATGTGTTGTTTTGGTGTAAGGAATACCGTGGTATTTTTATGTCAGTAATCGTAATTAGCTAAATTAAGATAAAACAATTTGAAGACCAACCTTCCCCTCTACACTCATTTGGCCCTGTGTCACATACCTGTAATACTCTAAATAAATATTACTTTCCTTTATGGTATATATTCATTGGAGTTTCATTTTTAAATGTTGTTATTTTTAGATTTTTATTCTCTTCCCTCCACAAACAAATATAGGAACAAGTTAGGACTTCATAGAGTCTCTGAGGTACTATGGTGGCTGTAGTAAGAATGTGTTGTTTTGGTGTAAGGAATACTGTGGAATTTTTGGGTCAGTATTTGTGGCTAACTAAGTTTAAGATAAGACAGACTGATAACCAGCCTTCCCTTTTGGCCTTGTACCTCATTTTTGTATTTTCAAAATAAATATTACTTCCTTCTATGGTACTTAAACTTTATGAATTTAAGCACAGTACTTGATTAGCGGCAAGTTCTCATCATCCTACAGTAGAAATGGTTAGATTTAACAGTAAGTTCTATGCTAACAGTTTCTTCTATTGCACTTCTGGTTTGAGGAATTCTGCTCTGGTTTCTTCCTTCCCAGTCTGATTAACTTTTCTTGTATGATTTATAAATTGTATTCATTGTAAATATTCATTGGGGTTCCATTTTAAAATGTTATTTTATTCCCCGCCCACACAGACAAATTGTACATATGGGAACTAGTTAGGACTACATAGAGACTTTGAGGTATTAGGGTGACTGTCGTAAGAATGGTAAGAATGTACTGTTTTGTGTAAAAAATACTGTGGTATGTTTGGATCAGTCATCGTTGCTAGTTTCAGATATGACAGATTGAAGACCAGCCTTCCTCTATCCCTGCATTTTGGCCTTGTGCCACACTTTTTTCCGCTATGGTCTCTAGACTTTATGAATTTAAGCGCAGTACGACATCGACAGCGATGTCTCACTATTTTGCTTTGAAATAGCTAAATGTAACTGTTTCATATTTTACATCATGCCTTTTCAAATGCCTTATTTCAAGAAAAATATACACTAATTAAGGTTTTAATCCTTAATAAATTAATTTTATTAAGTTATTTAAAAAAGTTGTTTTTTCTGGTGCTAAATTGTGTCAGTCATGAGTTGTCCCGGCGCTCAATCGATGGTGTAGAGTTGGAGGTGTTGAGTTGTCCTGCGCCCTTACTGAGTGAGACGAACTAGAAGTTCTAGTAATCTTTGTCGTCTGGGTAACAATTAGATTACAATATGTCTTAGTTTCGCATATGAATACCGGGAGATATTTCTAGACATTTTGATAAGTGGGATATTATTCTCTCAAAGACTGCAAATGTCTTCCAATCTTTTAATCTCAACGGAAAAAGAATTCTAGAAGCGAACCTGTAATTTTGACCACTGTATTCTCCCGATGCACCGCGGAGCATTCCTCCAGGCTGTTTTGGCACCAAAAGTAAGTTCGCTTTTATTCAGTTCGTACAAACCAGTTTTCTCGATTGACTGCATCACTTCCTGCCAGCGTTTGTGATATGACGGGGTATTTAATCTGAAAATATAAAAAGAAAAAAAAAAAATGCTATTTATACCATCAGATATAAATATAATGTATATCTTTACTTAGATAAAAATAATATATATATATATATATATATATATATATATATATATATATATATATATATATATATATGTGTGTGTGTGTGTGTGTGTGTGTTGTGGGTATATGTGTGAGGGGGTGTTGGTTTATTTAGGTTTACTCAAATTCTAGCAAAAAGCAAATTAATGATCGATTTTTTAAAAAATATGACAAATGCACAATGTTCAATGTACCATTTCGATATTTTGAAAGATGGTAATGAACAGACTGCGAAAGAAAGGAAGAAGAAAGATAAGCTGAGATAGATAGATAGATAGATAGATAGATAGATAGATAGATAGATAGATAGATATGAACAGTTTGGGATAGATTTGATTAAACAGATAGATAGATAGATAGATAGATAGATAGATAGATAGATAGATAGATAGATAGTAATGAACCGACTGCAGGAGAAAGAAAGAAAAAAAATAGGAAGGAAGAAAGAAAGACAAGCAGAGATCGATCGATAGATAGTAATGAAAAGACTGCGAGTGAAAGAAAGAAAGAAAGAAAGAAAGAAAGAAAGAAAGATATAAAGAAAGAAAGAAAAACGTGCTGCTATAGATAGATAGATAGATAGATAGATAGATAGATAGATAGATAATGCAAACATGGCAGACTTAGAAAAACATTCTGATATATACTATACAACGTGTAGAATAAAGTTCTCGGGCAATAACTTTTCAGTACCTTTGCCATGATTACCGGGTTTATGATATTTTTGTCTAATTCGTCATGCAGTCATATCGGTGCATTCTTAATAAAAACATATATATATATATATATATATATATATATATATATATATATATATATTTCTCTTGGTTCATCGTTGCTATGTTCTTTGATCTAATCACACATACCCATTCTCCTTTAACTTTCAAGTCTACGATTCAGAGGATGATTTATATACATAGCAACCACTGATATATATATATATATATATATATATATATATATATATAAGAAAAATTATTAGCAAAGCCGAAAAATCTTTCGTGTGATGCTTTTCGGCCTTCACGACTTCATTGCCCTAAACTGATGTTTACATTGATATAAATACACATGTGCATGATGAAGGGTGGCTGAAATTTTAATTTTCTGAATTTCTTTTTCATATTTTTCTTATTATTGATATTATTTTATAATTTTTGTTCTTAAATATCCTACATTATGATAATAAAAGACTTGGCGAGATAAGTGAAATGTTGCAAGAACTTAGACGCAAATTTACTGTGGAAGAGCTAGCAATTAAAGCACATTCTATACATTTCTGTTTCAGTAAATTGCTTTCTCTTTTAATTAAAGTAGTATTTTAGAACGAAATTACAGTCAATTGTTATGGTATAAAACATTTCTATATCATTTTCTCATATATATATATATATATATATATATATAATTTTTTATATATATATATATATGTATATATATATATATATATATATATATATTTTTCTCGCATATATATATATATATATATATATATATATATATATATATATATATATATAATGCTGCGCAAAAATAAGTGAACCCCAAGGATAATATTATAAAAATTAAATTGTCTCTTTTTTTCTCAACAAACAACAAATCTTTATTAAACAATATAACCATTAAGAACAAGCCATTATTAAACGAATTACGACCACTTTCAAAAATGTCTATCAAGCTGAAATAAAAAATATTAATTAAAAATTTAGATGTCCAAAAGTAAATGAACCCTTACATTTATACTTTGTTTTACATGGTTGCCTGTGCTAATAATTTTTTGTAAGCGTGCAAAAATCAAAATGACACATGCTCATTTTTTGGTAAGCTGTGTATACCGCACCCAAGCAATATAATTCTTTTTATATGCAAAAGTTGCAGTTGGAGACTAAATTTAAAAAAAAAATGCCCCAAATCGAAAGAACTTCCTGAAGCTTTAAAAATCGCGCAATTAAAGTCCATAATGATGGAGAAAGCTACAAAAAGCTATAAAAAGCTATCAAACCAGCTTAGAGTGTACGTCTCCATCATACTTATTATAAAACCCAGGTTGTGTGTGTGTGCGTCTGTTCGTTTATATATTGGATCGGATTTCCTACATTTTTCAACCAATTTCAACAAAACTTCACAGGACTACGTAAAATTACCTTGCGGTGGTTCTGACAGTGCCAAAAATTGGAAAAACACAATTGTTTTTTAATTAATTTGAAAACACGATTAAGAGGCATCGCGAGAATGAAAGGGGGACAACTCATATTGAGTTATACTTATTATAAAACCCAGGTTGTGTGTGTGTGTGTGTGTGTGTGTGTGTGTGTGTGTGTGTGTGTGTGTGTGTGTGTGTGTTCATTTATATATGGGATTGGATTTCCTACATTTTTAACCGATTTCAAAAAAACTTTTTTTTGGCAGGAAGTGTTTCTTATTGTCTTGCATTTTTTTTCTTTATTTTACATTCAGAATACTTTAAAAAATTCCATTTACAAGACAATTGTTTATAATAAAATTCTATTCAATCGATAGATTCATAACGATTAAAAACAATGTTTTTGTTTGAGTTTGGGTTTGACCAATTCGTAAAAAAAAAAAAAATAATTAAGACATGCGTGTCCATCAACCTTTAACAATAATCTTTGTCAATTTTATTTTTCAGTCTTTATGATGGTCGATACTTGATCTATATCTTACTGTTACATCCCCGAGCAACGCCGGGCGCTACTGCTAGTAAATTATAAATGGAAGCCCTTTGGTATGACGGCATTGCAATTAAGAAATTTCCGCCCGAGAAAAATAACTGTAACAGCATATAGAGATCTAGTTCGATAAGCCCAGACGATTCCTACTCTGACCTCTGTGGTTTTTCAAAGCTCATTGACCAATTTCGGAATCAGTTTGGTTACATATACAGTGCGAGGAAATCTGGATGATGCCAGTCTTCATAGCAGAATTCCTTACGAAAAAGCACAAACAAGCTCGCTCAACTATGGCAAAACTGATATTAATAAGCTAGAAACATTCTGGTAAAAGGTTTTATGGTCGAAGGAGACCAAATTAGTGCTTTTTGGGGGTGGGAACGATAGGCAGTACCGTCTTGTGGGCTTCTAATACGGCATTTCAATCGAAGAATTTGGTACCGACAGTTAAACATGGTGGCGGCAGCATTATGATTTAAGGGTGCTTTACTGCAGCAGGAACGGACAAAATAGTACACATTGACAGCACAATAGACTCTGGAAGATACCAAACAATTTTGGACGAAAGTGTCTAGCTCTCATTCCGAAAGGTATGTTATGGTCGGAGATGGATCTTCCAACAGGACAATGATCCGAAGCATCAAAGCAAATCTAAAAAAGAACGGAAACGCAGTGTGGTAGAAAAAAATCATCATATATGTCAAGAACTACCCGAAGAACATGACCAAGTATATACGAGTCAGTTTCAATGATAGTGGCATCAAAATACTTCCAACGGACATTGCATAAAGCTGATTTCAATGAAGGGCGGACGAGGATGTCTTCAATGTTTCACGTCAGGCAGATAAAAATTGTCTCGACTTTGCTAAGCGTCAGCTTGACAAGGAATGTGCGTGTAGCAATTATCGGTGCTGGAAATGTACTGGAGGAGACGGGTTTCAAATTCTAGCCAAGGGCGTTGCGTTCGTTTTTCAGAAACTTTTCACTCTATCCCAGTAAAAATAAAATTACTTATATACTATACAAAATTCACTACTACTAACTTAACCATCTTAAATAACTGCTCCTCACTGCTTAACATATTGCAAAAAAAAAAATAACAACATTATATATCAATTTAAATGACCCTTGGAATAATGGATCTCCGACAAAAAAGATATATATGTTTTTTATACGACAAACACGTTATCTAGAAGGCTCACCCTACACTTAATGATTCATCATCCATAGCCTAACATCTACAACACATATTTGTCCACATTTACAATTTAGAAGCATGTTAACTTTATACTTCACAAAGAAAGTAATAAGCGGAAACTACAAATTCTTGAAGCTATCTTTATTAAAATATTAAAATCAACAAAAAAATTTATGAATATAGTAAAAATGTTCTGAAATGTTTATAGTATATCGTTTTAAAAAAATATCGAAGTTACAACTAATAGTTTAAAAAGTAGATGAAAAAATTCTTTAATAATTAAGTTACCTCCCTTACATTAAATTATTAAATTGACGTTACGGTCACAAGGATATTCATAATCGTAATAACTCAAGCATAAAGAATTTCTCTTAAAACATGATTTTTTTAAATCAGCGTGTCTGTCTTTGGGCATGACCTGGACTGTCAACGGTTTAAACACAAAAGCAAGAACTTATTTCGGACAAATACAACTATTTGTCTTAGCCATCAAAATCGTGATGATGATATTGTAAATAAAATTGAAAATATTCGGAAAAAATAAAAATGAATAAATGTAACCACAGTACCTTTGTTGCTGACTTGTTTAATCAGACATGTTTAAATAGAAATATGCTGCCAAAATATACGGAATACCCCCCCCACACACACACATATATATATATATATATATATATATATATATATATATATATATATATAGAGAGAGAGAGAGAGAGAGAGAGAGAGAGAGAGAGATATGAGATAAAAAAAAAAAAAAAAATAAAATAACAATATTAGAGATGTAAAAAATGTCGGACACAATGGAAAATATGTAATTACATCTACGTAAACATCTCTTTAGTTCGATGAAGTCCTAAAAACGCGTCACACGAAAAATCTTTTTTCTACTTTATATATAACAATTTATATATCGTTTATATATATATATATATATATATATATATATATATATATATATATATATATATATATAAATGAACGTGTCTGAATAAAAATAAACATGGGTTTATTACTTTGAAGACATGGGCAAGATTTACAATTTTGGCTATCTTAAATCGGCGATTGTAATAAACTATATGGTTCCATCGTGCTTCGGATCGCTTCAATGTGACAAGTGCTTAAACTATAAAACTTTTAGCGTTAGGTATCAGCCGTGATTTATTTGACGGCCAAATCTCTTTAAATAGCCTTAGACTCTTGAAGCATTTACGTCACGAGTTATCTACTTTGAATCGCAATTTTCACAACGGACATGAAGACGTCACTTTTGTAAATATAACCTGCTACTTATTTGGTTTATGTTCCTCGTCGATTCAACATCAACTTATAAACGATATACGCATGATGTATTATTATTATTATTATTATTGAGTGAAGCAGCAACAGCTCAACAAAGTGACGAAGCGCTCATGACAACCAATCTGATAAGTGCATACCAAGCACATGCATCAGAGCCAAATGTACAAGATACAGGAAGAATAACACGGGAAAAAGATTTCGAACTCGGTTGGTCTGTTCTACCCACCATTCACAATATTCACATAAACCTTGGACCAACAGATGGTTTTCCTTTTTTTGATAAATGCTTTGACGAGGGAAAGTTTCTCAAATCAAAAACATGTTCAAGAGTTCATTGAAAACGTTATAACATCAAAACCTACGCAATTTTTATTCAAAAGCTAATTTAAAAAATCAGCCAAATAATTTTCAACAAGAAAATGTTGACTATATAACTGAATAAAATGTAGCTGTGTGCTTATGGCCCTATCACGTTGAAACATTGGTTCTCGTACGATCACCAAAGTGAAGCAACGCTGAATATAGTCTGTACCTAGATGGGTGACCGCTTGGGAATACCAGATGCTGTAAGTTTGGATGGGTGAGTTGTGGGATATATAATGGCTCAGAAGGAAAAAATTGGTGGGGGGGGGAGAATAAAATTGCTAAAAAGAACGGAAAGTATTTATGATCCTACTTAATACACAAACATTATTATTATTATTATTATTATTATTATTATTATTATTGTTGTTGTATACACATTTCCTTCCGGGTCCCAACCAGAAACCTAATGTCAGAAATGGCTTCATGACACGTTTCGTAATGTGTGAGCTGTACTTGTCATTAGAATTTTTTGCATTATTATTATTATTATTATTATTATTATTATTATTATTTTATTTCCTTTGATTTCTGGTGTATGCTCATTTCTTTCCGAGTTCCATAAAGAGACCTAAGGTCAGAAATGGCTTCATGAGTTTTTCCAGTAAGCATTTTTGTAAAAAAAATAAAATAAAATAACACGTAAGACAAACTTTTTACATAAATAAAGTTCTTCGTCGTGTGTGAGCTGTACTTGTGAGTACAATATTTTGTGTTTCTTTAAGGCATGGGCTTCTAGGAATCCCTTCACTGAGTCTATCGGAACATTATCCAATCCATCCGATGGTTCAGATTACACCTCCAATTATTGATGCCCACATGTGCCATACTTTTTAGATTTGGCTTTGTATATATGTACCCCTGAATCTCGTTGTTTGGTGTACTAGTCACTCTCATATTATTATTATTATTATTATTATTATTATTATTATTATTATTATTTCTTTCGATTTCTATTGTTTACGCATTACCTTTCGGGTCCCAACCAGAGACCTAAGATCAGACAGTTTCCACTGATCATTTTTGTAAAAAATTTTTTTTAAAAAAAAAACCTTATATCACACACATTTTACATAGATAATGTTGTAACCTAGAAAGGTTTACTGAATGAGGAACAACCAAAACGGAAGTTGGAAATGAAATGGTAATTTTTATAACATAAACAAAATACAATACTCGCCAGCGGCGTGAAGTAGGTAAACCACTGCTACTGGTGGACTACTTAGACAGCATATTACCCCAACTTACAATAGTGTCCAACGCATTTATGAGGATTGAGATATACCTATTAGTGTTCATAGGTACGGGATATAACAGATAACACTCTTCCTAATGTGTGAACTATAATTGAGAGTACAATTTTTGTATTATTTACTGAGAGAGTAGCAACATTGTTTCAGTGCTAATTTAGTAAAGATAAGTGATATAAAATAGGTAAATAGCCAGGTTGTATATTAATCGCAGGTGATTCGTAGGTTGTGGTACTTTCATTGCATCTTCTTCTGGGTAAATTATATGTAATTTATTGTATTTTAATGATAGATAGATAGATAGATAGATAGATAGATAGATAGATAGATAGATAGAAAGAAACAGACAGTGAAAGAAAGAAAGAAAGAAAAGAACGCTATTACATCAAATATTTTCTATATCCATTGCTAATCATGACAGGTTGTATTAATCTGTCATAACACAGAATTGAACTTATTTTAATTGAAAAAGGTAAAAAAAGAAACATAATCTGATTCAGATCATGAAAACCAGCCTGCTTGCCTTTGGCTAGGCTGTCTTCTTCAAAATTTGTTTGGAAATCGTTGTTATTCATACAGACCTTAAACCAGGAATTA